GAAACGCAGGCTGCACAACTGACACAGATTTCTTTCTATTGTGTTTTCACACATCGTGACTCATTTTCAAAAATGCGGAACAACGGTTGATATCCTATTCATGCCTCGCTGGGCTGCAGTGATGCATGTTGTGTAAATACTCTGGTCTGGGCAGTGGCTCATAGCGGTAGCGTTCACGTGAACAAAATCTGTTAAAACTACAAAGAACGCTTTGCTTAATTTGAATTTTTTTTCAATATTTTAAGTTGATTCTGTGCTATAATCCCTGCCCTTTTGTAAATAAATGTCTTTCTTTTTGAAGGGCTATTCAGCTGGGCCCCAGCACCGGTTGCAGGTAAGATTTCTGCTCGCCAGTTTTTAGCTGCTTTAATCTGAAGTGACTTGCAGTTGATTAGGAGATTAGAGGTAGGAACCAATCCCTCCTTTGAGCAATGTGGTCTGAAGGGCCTTGCTCAAGGGCCCAACGGCTGCACTGTATTTCTCTGCACTGCCCCATGCTTAGGATTAGCAGCTCAATTTCATTTTATTAGATTCCAAGTGGTGATCTATGTAACTGCTATTGTAAAGCCCTTTGACTGACTTGGCATTTAAATATTAGATCCTAAATGCCCGTGAAATGATTTCAGGCTACAAAATGTGGCACGTCGGTTTAAGACATAGCAGCTGGTTTTGATTTGTTACAATTGTGTATTTAACTTTCAGTGATGATGGGAAACTATCATTCATTAATCTTTAAAATAACGTGGAATCGGCTTATTCATTAATGAACCGAGATTCATTAATCATTATTTCCTTGTTCAGTAGCCAGTGCAGAAAAAGAATCCGGTGGGGTCTGTGGGTCTAGTTAAGGTTAGGGTGGAGCTTGGATATTAGGGTGGAGGTTTGATGATGGGGAGGAGCTTAGATATTAGGGTGGAGCTTGGATGATGGGGCGGAGCTTGGATATTAGGGTGGAGTGGGCCTTACCTGTGTGAAGATGCTTCCCGTTGGTTGTGCTTGGATGACATTTTGCATGTGTTTATCCTCAGAGACCCCTTACATTGAAATTATCGAGCAGCCCAAACAGCGAGGGATGCGTTTCCGCTACATCATCGAGGGGCGCTCCGCCGGCAGTATCCTGGGAGAGCGGAGCAGCGACAACGCTAAGACGTACCCATCAATCAAGGTGAGCCGCGGCCTCCTCCTGAGCTGCCCAATCCACAGGCACTGAGTGCGGTGTTTCATATGGCATAGTTCCTTATCGTGCTCACACTGCTGCGTTCGAAACTCAGAGGAAGTTGCTCACTTGTTGCCCCAAAAAAAAAAAAACATTTTAAAAACATTGAAAAGAAATTTTTAAAACATTTGACTGCCAGCTGCCCTGGGTAATTGTTAACTTAGTTAACTCAACAGAGGAAATGCTTCATTTTAAAACTGGTTACACCAGCTGCATAGCTGGAATATGAGTCAGCCGCATTATTCTGTGTTTATGGTAAGTGCTGTAGATTACGCTAAGTTACATGAGCAGGTCAGTGCAGTGTGCCAGGATATTTAACCCTGTAGTGAACAGCAAGTTGGAATACTTGTAACTACCTTTTTGATTGGACCAGCACGGTCTTGCGGTTCGTGTGTGAGTGAGTGAGTGAGTGAGTAGGTGAGGGAGTGAGTGGTTGAATGAGGGAGTGAGTGAGGTAGTGGGTGAGTGAGTGGTTGAATGAATTGAGTGAGGGGTTGGGTGAATGAGTGAGTGTAGTGAGTGGGTGAGTGATTGAGTGAGTGAAGGAGCGAGTGATTGAGCGAATGAGTGATTGAGTGAGTGAAGGAGTGAGCAAGTGAGCGGGTGAGCGAGTGATTGAGTGAGAGAAGGAGTGAGGGAGTGGATGAGTGATTGAGTGAGAGAAGGAGTGAGTGAGTTGGTGAGTGAATGAGTGAGAGGAGTGAGTGATTGAGTGAGAAAAGGAGTGAGTGAGTGAGTGAGTGGTGAGTGAGTGAATGAGTGGTGAGTGAAGTTTTACTATTGGTCGGCTGGCCAAGTGTACATTCCCCATTGGCTGTTGCTCAGTGCCCACTGTTTTGCTCACACACTGTAACCGGTCCAGCCATATATTTGGTAGTGACTGTGTCTTGTTTGAAGTGTGCGCTGTTTGAGAGACATATAATATTCCCTTGGGCATTTTGTCATCAGAGTGAAGACCTGAACACGTGAGATTCAGTCCTACGCTAGGAATTAGTCAGATGTAAAGATAAAGCGAGTCAAGTAAATAGGGGGGAGTTTATTTGGACCAGTAGCTCCCAAGATGCTGGCGTTTGGTGTCTAACCTCCTGGAGCCTCTCGTCATCTGGACTCTGTAAAACGCCAGAAAATGAGTATTAGGGCTATTAGGTCCCTATTCTTTAGGGTGATGCTGTGCTGTGCGGACAGTGAGATCAGCCGTTTTCAGTTGGGTATTTTTGAAAGTCACTGAAGTGCGTTCCCATTTTTTTTATCACTGGTTTCATTCATGCTTTTGATCTAAACAGATCCTCACTTCCTCAAGGGAAATGGGCCCTGTCAATCTTGGGTGAATCATTCATTTCAACTGATTTGCACTTGGTGGCTCAAATGCCTTTATTTTCAGGGAAGTGCAGAAAAACACGAGAAAATATTCTCATTTTCTGTGGCTGTAAAAAAAGCTATTTTATTACATTTTTTATGCTACTATGTATGTCATAATTGGCAGTAGATAAGAGTCACCAGTTTCAGATAATCAATGAGGGATAGTGTGGTGGAAGATTCTCTATGATTACACCTGCTTAAAAAATGCCTGAACAAAGCTGTGTCAACAATAATCCATCTTAGCTGGTTTATGTTCACCTCCTCCGCCCCAGGAAATTCTCCAGAATTAGTAGAAAAGCGATCCAGCTATGATCTTGTTTACCAACTACATGCTTTAAACATGATTAGATCGTAAGGACTAGCTGACTGCACGGTTCACATCTGCTAGGACTTATGAAAAACGATTCTCAGTTGAAGACGCCAGTACTAAAATTACTTGAGTCACATAATGTTCGTTTTGAGAAGATTGAGAAAATCAATTTATAATGAGAAATAAGTACTTTAAGCACCAGGCTCTTCAATTTGATTCCCTTGCTTTTGCTCCTGTTGTTTGCAGTTGCGGGGTTCCACTGAAAGGCAAACACAAAGTGCCACCCAGTCGGTTTTTTTGAATGAGATCAGGCAGATAACCAAGTCTGAGCTCGGCTGTGAGTGCTCTTTGGGGTTAACTAGGAAGTGATGTAACAGGAAACCACCTTGGGGATTTGCCACTCTCTGCGTCATCTCACAATCTCTGTTTGGGCGGGTAGAGGGTGGAGCTTCTGAAACTGTGGGGGCTGGGGGCTATGTTTCAAACCTGCGGCTGAAATTCACGAGGGTAACCTCAGCAGGCCAGAGCCAGTGTTCTAAAACACACACACACGCACACACAAGCCACACTATCTTGGCCTCTGAAGGCGGACTGCTAACATTAGTGGGACATGGCCTTGTTACCCTTTCACTCTAAATATCACCGTTATCAATAAGCGTTTTTCTTTGCTCTCTTCTTGAGAAACTTTTATTTTATTGATTTATTTGATAGGGACCATGCATATTTATGAACATTCTTGTATAAAACAACATGTAAATATGCCAGAATTAGTAAAAATAACTACTTTTCATCTGCAGTCCCTAGGCAGGTGTCATAAGACTAACATAGAGACAGCCATCATTCATACAGCACTCATTCACTATAAATTAAAAAGGTACACATAATGGTGACATGTACATCGAACAAAACAAAAATACACAGGATGATAACAAAGACATTATTCATCCACCTCTATACTGCATTCAATTTAAAAGTGAAAGTGTATGGGTGATGAAATGTGTGGCAGTTAAAAGTGAGTGCATCTCTGGTTCTCCAGGAGCCACTGTTTTAAGTGTGTTTTAAAGGTGTTGTATGTAGAACAGTCTCTTATTGGGAGGGGCAAGCTAGTCCAGAGTTTACCTCCTATTATTGACTGTACGTTTTGTCCAAAACTGGTGCGTCTAAATGGTATCACACAGTCCCCTTTTACAGAGGCCCGTGTACTACCTCCACTCTCAAGTCTTTGGAAAAAGCCATGCAGCGGAGGGGCAGCAAGATTATGTAACACTTTATATACAAAACAAAGATACTTAAAATGTTTGAAATTGTCAAAGCTTAAAAATTTATATCTCTCTAAGATATAGCAATGGTGAAATGACAATGCCTTTTTATCAGAAGTTTTTACGGCTTTCTTAAAGAGAGATTCAATGCTTTTAAGAGTAGTCATGCTAGTTAATGACTAGTTTATAAAACAATAAAATCATAGTATATAAGAACAACTTGGCAGCTTTGGTGTCAAGAAATGGCCTAACTTGTTTAAAGTTCTGCAAATTGAATTTAACTTTATTTGCCACCTTTTTTTTTACATGACTTTTGATCGCTTGTCCAGATTTGATTTGTCTGTCCTGCCTCCCAATTCTTCATTTCCAGAATGAATAGAAACCCCTGCATGATTAAGATCCCCATGCGGGTTCTTTTTAATTTTTAAACTGCTGAAAATTTTGGAAGATAAGGTTGGTATTGGTGGTATCCAGTCATAGGAAGTCTCTAAAGTAAATAAATTTAAAGCTGCTCTAAACCAATAAGCCACAGCATTGAAAATTCCCACAAAACACTTATTTAGCTCGGATATATGTACATCATATTTTGGAAGTCTGTTCGTGCCCAACTCTTGTTTCAGGGTTTCTTTAAAGTAGCTGATGGCTGCGGAAGAAAGTTGGTGGTTATTTGGGAATGGACACAGGAGCAGTAATGCAGATGCATGTGGCACTGGTGACCTGCATGTTCGGTACTCTGGTGGTGGAGCTTGGCATTATTAAAGGAGCGCGTGCCAGGGCTGTCCAACCCTTTTCTCAAACTTTTCTGGGGGTAGCCTTATGAATGTTTCAGGGTAAGAGGGTGATTTATATTAGTTGCGGCACAGTGGTGCAGTGGTTAGCGCTGCTGCCTCACAATGAGGAGGTTCTAGGTTTGAGTCCCGGCTGGCCAGGGCCTCTGTGCGTGGAGTTTGCATGTTCTCTCTGTGTTTGCGTGGGTTTCCACCGGGTACTCCGGTTTCCCACACCCAGAAAAACATGCGTTATAGGAACCTGCGCCCCTGATCAAGGAACTGGCTTTAAAACTGGAGTTGGTCCCCTGGGCGCTGCCCTGTGGCTATAGGATGGGTGAAATGCGGAGGACAAATTACCCCACGGGATTCAATAAAGCATATCTGAAATCTGAAATATCAGTCTTGCGTCATTGCTTGACGTCCTCAAGTTGGAACACCTGAGGGTGAAAAGGTTAATGCCCAATTTAACTCCAGCCACTAGGAATGGAAAATCTTCAGATTTGAAAATTAATTTAGGGAAATGTAATCTCTTGCTTTGTGTACATGTTGTGCATGCCCCCAAGGTCCAAAAAGGTAGATAAAAGAGAATTGATTATTTAAATTCCCTGGGATTTTAAGAATGGATCTGCAGTTTTGTTGGTGCATCGCACTTTGGACTGTAGGTGAAGCTCTTGGTTCCTGGTCCTCAAATCAAGGTGCTCGAGGTTGGAGAATTTCTGGGTTTATACCCTCGCTTTACTTGGGAGTTGGGTGTTAAAACCAGTCTGGTCAATCGGCATTGCTAATCATTAAGTTAACTACTTGGGAGGAAAGAAAACCAGGGCTGGATTTTGATTTGAGGTACAGATTCTAGGATTCCTGCTGTGGGTGTTTCTACTGCCCATATTGCTATGCTATGCCATGTTGTGCTGTTTTTGTGTTTTGCTGTATTGAGATATGCTATTTTATGCCATGCTTTGTTGCGTTGCATTATGCACTTTTTATATTGTATCATGTTATGCTGTGTTTTCTTGTTTTGTGTTGTTCTGTGCTATACTACGTTAACATTATGCTGGCGCACGTTCGCAAAATTTTTATAAACTCCTGCATCATTTCCGCAGGTCCATAACTACAGTGGTCCCATTCGCATGCGTATCTCCCTGGTAACCAAGAACATGCCCTTCAAGCCCCACCCACACGAGCTGGTGGGGAAGGGCTGTGATAAGGGCTACTTCCAGGCCGACCTGCCGGAGAGACGCATTCACAGGTACGCCATGCGTTTCTGAGCGTCGAGCGCTTCGTGATGCGGACATGTGAGCTGGGGTTTTCACTCTTATTCACTATGAATTGCTGTGGGTGCTGGCTTTCATTCCAACCATGCAGTTATACATTTCATACTACTAATCAACTCCTGGAGTATTTGCTAGCAGAATCTCATGTGTAACTGCATTTGTACTAAGAAAATTGAAGTTTTCAGAATGGCTGGCTGGCAAAGCCCCGGATTCAAACTGCCTTGGCTGGATGTGCTCTAACATTTTTTTTTTTGCCTTTAGGCACTGTGGCTAAAAAACCTGACTATGTTTTAGCCGAAAAAGAAATCTTTTTAGCCACGCAAAACACTGTGTTGCACGTGCAACTTCACAACATAAGCTCAGTATTTGTATCTGCCTTGTTAAGCAATATCAACAACAAATAAAGGCTCGAATTTTATTGCATGTATTCCACACATTCATTTCTGAACCTGCATGAAAGACTAGATCATTTATTTAAGGACAGATATGCGTTTTTTTTTTTTTTTTTTTGTGATACCTGATCAGTAAAACAACTACATCAGATTCCACTAATACCGTTTTAGATAACCACTAACATTTGCACCTACTGTTGTAGAAAACCACGAACATTTGAATTCGCTGCAATGAAAAGTACATCAAGTATAGATCTTCAAATCCACATTAACCCCCTGCAAATACACCCCTATTTGGAATAACCTGAACTTCACACAGAAAAATTCACCCCTAGATTTTGTCACCTGGAAAAAAAAACGAATCACACACCTACACCACATCTTCCATAATGATAAACTAATCTCATTTGAAAATCTCATTCACACCTATGGCATGGGGACTGACCAGTATCTTCAGTAGTTTCAACTAAAATCAGTTCTCAAAGCCAAAATCAATATTACTAATAATAACCTACAACCTCCAGTACTGACAGAAGAATTTTAGAGATTAAAAACACAAACTACTATCCAAATTATACACACTATTACTTAACTAAGACACAACCATATCACTTCCCACACAAAAATGGGAAAATGACCTACTGGTCAGTCCCAATACCGATTACTGGACACAAATCTGCCGGAACACCTTCACAATGTCAAAAAATACAGATATACTTCTAATACAGAATAAAGTCATTCACAGAACTCACCTCACCACACATAAAATACATAAAATGGGACTCATAGACACAGTCTTTATTGCATGAGAAGTTATGGTCCTTCCAAAATGCTAAACGAAATGACCAATTCACCTAAGTCAAAAAGGGGTGTTTCACCCAAATTTCAAGAAATTTTCACACAAATTCCGTCAGATATACTGACAAGAAACTTGGGATTCTTTTGTTTGGTACCATAAAGTATTTTTGGACAAAGTTTGAGCAAAATCCGAGCGGTGTCATGTACAAGGTACCTCAATATTGGCTGTTTTGATATGGAATGACCCCATATAAAAAAAATGACTTGGTTAGCATCCTTCACATTTTGATTTTCTGGTGCAGATGGGAGGTTTGCATGTATTTTTAAAATTTTTGTTAAAATAAGAGTTTGAGAACCAAATTGCGCAACAAATCCAAATCACAAGTACGTTTGTAACAGAAAGAATCAAACCCGCCTGAACCCATGAGTGGCGCAGTGCCTGAAAGCTGAACGGATCATCTGCTGTATGGACAGGGATTCTGAGCATTTTTCCCACTTTCTTTTTTGGCACAATTTTAACAGATTTTTACAAAATAAAAGAAAGGGGGAAAATTGAAGGGGAAGGATTTTTCTGTGGCTGGCAGGGATGCTCACAAATTTTGGCTCCGCTGTGACGACAGTCACAGTCAGCGGAGCTTTTCTAATGCCGAGTCGTCCGACGTCCGTCCGTCTGTCTGTCTGTCTGGCGTCAACTTTTCACTTGAAATCTGAATATCTCAAAAACTGTCCGATAACTTTTTTTTTAATTTGGTGTGAGCCTTCCTTATGATATTCTGAATATTCAGTATGAAAATTTGAAAATTTTACATCCCGATTTTTGAGAAATTAAGAATTTTGGACTTAGAAAATCAGTGTTTGTCCTCATTTTTTTCAGTCTTTCATTAATATCTCGAAAACTGTCTGATAACTTTTTGTCTAATTTGTTGTGAGCCTTCCTTATGATGTTCTGATTATCCCCTGCGAAAATTAGAAAATTCCATCTCCCGGTTTTTGAGAAATTCAGCATTTTAGACTGAAAAAGTAAGTGTTTGTGCTCATTTTTTCAGTCTTTCATTAATATCTCAAAAACTGTCTGATAACTTTTTTTGTCTTATTTGTTGTGAGCCTTTCTTATGATGTTCTGAATATCCCTTGCAAAAATGAGAAAATTCTACATCCCAGTTTTTGAGAAATTCAGCATTTTGGACTTAGAAAATCAGTGTTTATGCACATTTTTTCAGTCTTTCATTAATGTGTCATATGTGTTAATATTGCAATACTTTTCAAGGATTTCTTAAATTAAGTTATGACATGGACATTTCAGTCATCCTCAGCGGAGCTCTCTAGGCCGACAGGCCTCTTGTTCTATATGGCCTTACTGTGTGTTGAATGAAAATGAAAAATGATGTCATCTAGTGGCTGTTTGTCACACTTCGGGGCTTCCTGTTGATTACGACATCCTTTCCTGCAGCTTCCAGAACCTGGGTGTGCAGTGCGTGAAGAAGAAGGAGGTGGCGAAGGCCATTTCACACAGGCTGGAGACGCACAACAATCCTTTCAACAGTGAGTGACCAAACATAATCATACATACTATGACATGGCTGACCCTGCATACACATACTCATAATCACCCTCACATGCAGACATTTATCTACATGCAAACTTATACATGCACACACTCATGCGCATACATGCACACACTTACACTGATACACGCACAGACATACACACGCACGCACACACTTGCACGCATGCACAAGCACGCGCACACATATACTGTACATACCCACACATACACTCACACGTTTGCTGTTAAGTGGACTGCTTTTCTCCTCCTTGACTGGTGCGTGTGCGTGTGTTTTTCTCAGTTCCGGAGGCCGACGTGTGGGCGGAGGAATATGACCTGAACGCCGTGCGGCTTTGTTTCCAAGCCTCCTTTACGCTGCCCAACGGCGAGCTTTACGCCCTCCCTCCTGTGGTATCCCAGCCAATCTACGACAACCGTGAGTGCGTGTGTGTGTGTGTGTGCGCGTCTATGTGTCCTCCCCTGCCCTCCTGCCCCACTGTGGAAACTATTACCCTCCGTGTCCTCAGTGCATCGCCAATGATGCTGCTGTATCTGTGAGGCCCGTGTTTACGTTGGTCCTGTTGCAGGCATCCAACCTTGGGTCTTTGCTCACTGTGAGAAAAGGTACGTGATAAAATGTAAAAAAAAAAAAAATAATAAATTCTTTATTTTAGATGTTGACGAACCTCAGTTGTGTTTGTATGTCCGTGTGTGTGTGTGTGTGTTGTAGGAGCTAGCGGGTGTTCCCCTGATGAGTCAACATAAACGGTTTCATGGAAATTGCAGTGGGTGATGGTGCATCATGATCATCATCTCTCTCTTCTCCCCCCCTTTCTCTCACCCCTAGGAGCAGCCAGCACGTCGGAACTGAAGATCTGCCGCGTAAACAGAAACTCTGGGAGCTGCCGAGGAGAAGACGAGATTTTTCTCCTCTGTGACAAAGTGCAGAAGGGTGAGAAAGGGGTGGTCATCTCGCTGTTGGTTGTGTTTTCCTTCTGGCTGTCTTGTGTTTGGGTTGCTCGGGGGTGCATTCCGTTAAGGCACAGATGGGCTGTACAGTGCTAACAAGCACATACTTAGAAAGATTTCAACATTGTCCAATTTGAGTTTAATTCATGGGGTGGATAAATTAGTTTTCACTTTTTGTTAAT